CAGAGGCCAAGGCAAGTCTGACCTGTCTGTCCTGGCAGGTTTGCTTGGAGCAAGCCTTGGTCATTTGAAATGATGAAAGTGGAATCCTAATTTCGGACATTTATGCCTGGAGAAGAGGGATGTTTTTCTTCCATAAAAAGCAAAGCACAGAGCCCTTTCCAGTGTTTGGAAAACAGGTGTGAGTGCTGGCATTCAGGAATCAAAGACCAGCCAGACTTGTCTGTCCTGGCAGTTTTTGTCTTGCAGTAATCCTTGGATACACAGAAATTTGGAGGTAGAATCCAAATTTTGGCCATGGGTGCCTGGAAAAAAAGGACAGTTCTTTTCCATGAAAAGAAGAGCCCAGAGCCCCAGGCTTTCAGGGGCAGATGGGAGTGGCCTTCAGCATTCCAAGGTCAGTCAGACCTGTCAGGTGACCCCTGGGAGGCCAAGACAGCCACAATTATTTCATGTTCCATTCCTTCCACAGGGCCCTGCAGTGTCACAATGGCTCTTTGCTTCCATGACACCTTGCAGTGTCACAATGGTTCTCTTGCTTCCATGATGCCCTCTGGTGTCATAATGGCCCATTGGTTAGACAAGTCCTTAAGGATCTTAATGGTCTCCATGGTTCCACAAGGCCCAACAGTGTCCTAATGATCTATGGGTTCCATGAAGCCTCAGTGTGTCCAGTGGCCCCTTGGTTCCATTGGGGCCCAGTAGTGCAACAATGATTCCCTTGGTTCCACAAGTTCCCAAAGTGTCACAATGGCCCCTTCCTTCCATGAGGCCCTGCAGGGTCACAATGGTCTCCATGATTCCATGGGGCCTTGCAATGCCACAATGGTCTCCATGGATCCATGGTGCCCTGCAGGATCATAATGGCTCTTTGACTTTATGAGGCCCTTAAATGCTACAATTGTCTTTTGGTTCCACGAAGCCTCACGGCTTCACACTGGCCCCTTGGGACCATGCAGCTCAACAGAGCCACAATTATGCCCTTGATTCCACAAGGCCCCACAGTGTCACAGTGGCCCCCTGGGTCCATGGTACCCTGCAGGGTCACAATGTTCCCCTTGGTTCCTTAAGGGCCTACAGTGTAACAGGTTCCACAAGGGCCTGCAGTGTCACCATGGCCCATTAGTTCCATCATCCTCCACAGTGTCACAACAATCTCCATAGGAAGGAAACAAGTGAGCCCCAGTGGTGCAAGGGCAGATGAGAGGCAGTCACCAGAGGCCTAGTCTAGCCAGGCTTGACTGTATGGGCAGATTTTGTGTGGGAGTAACCCTTGGATATAGAGAATTTTAGACATGGAATCCCAACTTTGGTGATGGCACCTAGAAAAGAAAGGCAGTTCTTTCCCACAGGAAGGAAAGCACAGAGCCCCAGTGCTTCGCAGTCAGATGGGAAGTGGCCCTTGACATGTCATATTCAGTGGGACCTGTCAGACAGCCTCCAGGAGGCCAAACGAGGCAGACTTGTTCCATGTTCCTTTGATTTCATGGAGCCCCATACTGTCACAATGGTCTCATTATTCCACGAGGTCTCGCAATGTCACAATGGCTTCTTTGTTTCATGAGCCCCAACAGAGTCACAAGGGTCCATTGTCTCCATGTAGCCCCGCTGTGTCACAATGGTTCCTTTTATATATTGGTCCCACAGTTTCATTATTGACCCTTCCTTCCATAGGGCCCCCTGAGTTGCACAACAGTACCCTTGATTCTTTGAGGTTCTGTAGTGTCACCGTGGTGTCCTTTCACCTGCATTGTCACAACTGACCCATGGTTCCATGAGGTTCTGTAGTGCCACCGTGGTCGCTGTCAGAGGCTGGATGAGATAATGTCCCGAGACACCTTGGGATGCTCAGAATGCCCATGTGGGGCCAGGGCTGGGTCGGGCCTTGGTTTGTGGTGGGACAGAGCCCCGCCCCCAACCCTGGCCTGGCAGAGCTGTCAATCACATAGCAGATGCTGTGCCAACCCCACTCTGATTGGCTGAGCTTTCAATCAATCACACACTACCAGCTGGTGCCTACCCAAATCTGATTGGACAAGCAACTGGCAGTCTCACCCCAGGGGCGGGCCCATGAAGGCCCAGGGGGTTAAAAGCCGGAGCACGAGGCCAGCCCCTGGCCTGCATCCCGGTTTCTCCTGGGGTTCCTCTGTTAGTGTAGCTGGAAGCTGAGTAGTTGGTGCCTATGTGTGTGTCTTTCTATGGATCTTCTGTCTTTCTGATGTTCTCTATTTGTTCTCCTTCTAATCCTAATTACCTGGAACATTTTGGGTAACTAAACATCTTAAGGGTTGGAGGTCTTTAGGTTAAATGGGATAAGTTAATGTAGTTAATGCTTTGATAAGAGTTTTATATTGAAGTGGATGTTGTAATAAACCCTTTGCCCAAGTTGCTTGACTGTCGATATTTCGCCAGCAAAATTTTGTGTCATTTGGACATCTTAGCTCAGCTGATTTTTGCACGGTGCTGGTATCACTGAGGCTGTGGATTCAATCCCTGTGTGGGCCATTCACTAAAGAGCTGGACTTGATGATCCTTGTGGGTCCCTTGCTACCAAGAATATTCTTTGCATCTGCCCATGTTGACAATAGTTGGTTGATGTTTCTCCTGTGCACCAAACTCAAGTCAAGGAACCTTTGGTTACCCCCAGCATTTCAGTGTTTTGGGGTGTTCCAGCCCTGCAGGCTCAAAGTGGCCTCTTGTTCCCATGAGGCCCCACAGTGTCCCACTGGCCCCTTGGTTCCATGGGCCTCAACAGTGCCACAATGATCCCCTTGGTTCTACAACTTCTCACAGTGTCCCACTGGCCCCTTGGTTCCATGAGGATCTGTGTCACGGAAGGAGACTAGGACACCAGTTGGTTCATCATGGCCCACTTTATTGAACAAATATCAAACACTTATACAGCAAATAATAAGCTTATGAATATTCTGTAAGCCAAGCAATCTATTGGTTAAACTATAGCATTAACTCATCCACATTCCTTTGAGACTACGTTCTCTATCTCTCCTGCCTCACTGTCCATTTCTTTATCATGTTTTGAGAGAATCAAGGACACATTATCTCTCACCTGCAAGATTTGGAACTAACCATGGTCTTGTACTTTTCCATTCTCTATCCTGCTACAGACACAAAAAGGCCTCTGCCTGTCTCTGCCCTAGTTAGGACATCTTTCCCAAATTAATTCGGCTGTGTCCCCTCTCCTCAAGCCACTCTTTGAAAAAACTCTCCACAAGGGAACATGAACTTGAAACCAACAGTACCTACTCAGAGACTCTTGAAAGGAGAGACAACCCAGCCAAGTCAGGCCTTGCTTAGCACTGCAGTTCCCTGCTCAGAGCCTTGGGCTCCCTGCAATCCTGGCCTCAAGGATGTGCTTTCACAAGCCCTGGGCAGCCTTTGGCACTCCCTGCCCTCACTGGGGCCCAACCATGCTCCAAGGCACTTGGAGTTTTGCTGCTGCCTCCTTGAGCAGCTTCTCCATCCTTCTCTGTGTGCCTGAGGCTCCTGGAGCCAGCCCCAAATCCAGTGTGGGGCTGATTAAAATACAGAAAGACCTCAGGAACTCTTTGTCTCCCTTCCATTGTCCTTGAGTCTCCAGGGCTTGTGCAGTGATTGGAGTCAGTTCGGAGTTCTCTTCAGGAGGGAGATTCCAAAGTGCACATCAGGATTTTTGGTTTTAGTCAAAGAAATACCTTTTGTTTTCATTTCAGAGAAGAGGGGATAGAAGCATTCCCCAGGTGATCTTGATGCTGAATGTTTCCGTAGGAGGTCTGGGCAGGGAGAAGAATAAGCCCCTTGCAGGCTGAGCTTGTTTGGACAAGCTGCTCCTCATCCACAGCCTCACCATGTATGACATTGCCCACCTGGGAGTGAAATCCCAAAACATAAAAAAATGTGCATTTTACTTGAAAATTAAAAGATAATAATTCCTAAATTTATAGTTGCATTATTCTAATTTATGATATTATTCAATATTTTTACTACCCAATTTCTAAATTGATATCAAAAATAAATACATTTTTAGCAAGCAAAAGAATTATTCATCATTGGTTCTAAGTACCATAATTCCCTTAATTAACTGACAAGTATCAGCTATTGATTTCTCCTTCTTTATGCAAATAATTTATCATCTTTGTCATCTCTTTTCTTATTTTTTCCACAGGGTCAAGGGGGGAACTTTCGGGTCCCTGGAGACACTTCTGGGGCACATTTGGGGCAGTTTTGGGTCTGGGGAGGGAATTCAGAAAGAACTTGAGGGTCTGGAGGACACTTGGGGGAGACGGGCGGGCCCTTGTGGGACTGGAACGGGGCCCTCTGGGGGACAGGGGGTGATGGAAGTTCTAGGCACGGGTATCATACGGTTTAATGGGGCCGCGGAGCATCACGGGAGTTCTGGGCACAGCTGCAATGGCTCTCGGAGGAACTCCGGAAATGACGGGAGATGAAGTCCCGGGTGGAATAGCGCTGGGCATGCGCCATGGAGCATGATGGGAGCTGTAGTCCTGGAAGTGACTCGAATACCATGTTTGGGGGTCTGGGAAAGCTCTTGGGGGACACTTTTGCGTCCGAGCCGCGACTTGAGGTCCTCGGGGGAACTTAAACAGTTCGGGAGCGCTTGGGAGGAGCTCGGGGAGCTCTAACTGGGCTCTTCAGGGCGGGGGCACGGCAGGAGTTTTAGGCGCGGGACTGTGTTCTGAGGGGCTCTGGGGCCGCGGGGGATGAGAGGAGATGAATTCCCAGAAGTGGCTGTACCGGGCATCTGTGGGGTTGGGAGCACTCAGGGGGTCCGGGGCGCTTTCAGGGGCTCCCGAATGGGCGCTGAGGGGGCACTGAGGGATCCTGGAGGGTGTGGAGAACACTTAAGGGACAAAGGGGTAGCGGATCCTGGGGGTTCTGTGGAGCGCAGGGCTTGACGGGCGTTGTAGTCCAGGCTCCAATGGGGCTCAATCAGGCCGCGGGGCATGACGGGAGTTTTGGTTACCGTAGGCACCGCCCCCGAGTCTCCGATCTCTAGCGCTGATTGGCTGCGCGGGGTGATGGGCGGGAGTCTCGGCAAATGGGATACGGTGGAGGCGGAAACAGCCCATTCAACTTATCCAGTCCCTCCCAGTACAGCCCAGTTCATCCCCAGTACAGACCAGTACAACCCCAGTACAGCCCAGTTCGTCCCAAGTAGAACCCAGTACGAGCCCAGTGCCCCTCCAGTCCCTCCCAGTACAGCCCAGTCCCTCCCAGTTCCCCCCCCAATATCATCCACAGGATGCCCCAGTGTCCCCAGTCTTCTCCGCAATGCCCCCAGTGTTCCCCAGTATGTCCCAGTCCTCCCCAGTGTCACTCCCAGTATGTCCCAGTGTCTCCCACAGCGTTCCCAGTGTTCCCCAGTATGTCCCAGTCCTCCCCAGTGTCACTCCCAGTATGTCCCAGTGTCTCCCACAGCGTTCCCAGTGTCCCCAGTATGTCCCAGTCCTCCCCAGTGTTTCCAAGGACAGTTTAATTTCTCACAGTGGCCGTGGCAGCCAAACCCAGCAGTGGGGTCAGTGCAGTGCCCATGGCCACAGCCCCTTGCAGTGCCCAGTGCAGCTTGGGCTGATGATCCACCCTCACAGCTGGCCCAGGGCAGCTCTGCAGTGCCTTTGGTGGCACCTGGGGCTGGCACACACCTGAGCAGTGTGTCTGTTTGCACTGGGGAAACTCAGGAGTTTCAGATTGCTGCAAAAAGTACAAAAAGGGAAAACCCCTCTCAGGCTGAGTGCAGCCAGCTCTGCAAGCACAGCAAGGCCCAAGGCAGTGAGGACAGACAGGATGGGGCTGGGCAGTGTGGAGCAGGGTTGTCCACAATGGGTCAGAGCTCCAGGCACAGCTTCTGTGAGCAGGCCAGAGCTGCTGAGGAGAGACCCTGGGTCAATATCAATCACAGAATGCTGCAATCACCTCTGCTCTAAAGAGAAATTTAATCAAAGACACCCTTTAAAAAAGGAATGTGCATTTCTTACAAGTTCTTTGAAATCTTTCTCCATAACTGGACTCAGAAAACTTTATTGACCCTCTCAGGGCTTTGCTGTTGTTTACATTGTTTGTGTCCTCTGAGTTGGATGTACTGGAGAAATAGCAACAAGAGATTCTCAGGAGCCCTAAAGAGCCAAACAGCCTTTAATGGCAACTTTAGAAAATCAGAGAAACTTTGGCAAATGATTTATCATGATATTGTCAAGGTTTTGGTTTCTTAATTTACGATTTTTTCTAATCTTGAGATCTCCTAATTAATGTATTGATGAGTGTGGTTGGTTTTAGTGTCGGTTAATTATTTATTTATTTATTTTGTTGTGAGATAGGATTACGAGAAAGGTAAAATAGGCTTAAAATTTAAAAAGGGTATAAAGAAAATTTTATTAAAAGCAAATTTTAAAAAAGGTAGTAAGAATTAAATTCTTTAGAACACTTTTTTTTCATTACAACTTTTTCTTTTTTAACCTGACAATGTAAAGAAATTAAACTAAGAATTTCTAGTAGTTTACTATTTTTAGAATTGTCCTTTTTTTTAGTTTTAGGGAGGGAAGTTTTTCTTGTTAAGTTTATGGAGTTTTTTTACAAGAGGAAAAAATATGGGTTTTGTGGTTCTTAATTTTGTTATGGATAACAGTTGTCTGGAGAACTTTGATATTGTGAAGTTCTTTTGTTGCTACAAGCATTTTTACGACTTATTTATGGGTCATGTTGACTTATGAGGTATTGTTTTAAAGGTGTGTTGTTTAAAGTAAATGTTTTTATTATTTACTTATTAAAATATTTTTATCTCTGGAAATAGAGATCTTCTCTTGTGGGTACTGGATTACTTTTTTTTCTGCCTGAACTTTTTATGAAATTGCAGTTATTTTATAATTTATTTTATTATGGAGGTTTTTGTTTGATATTATTTTGAATATTTAATTTTTTATAGTTTTATGTGTTACAAAGAAAAAGAGTTTTTCCTTATAGTTTATAAGAGGGTTTTAGTTTCAAGATTAAGGTATTTTTTCCTCTTTTTTATTGGGTATTTATTTCTTCCTTTCTGACTTTGATGGTCCCAGTCAATCCCAGTTGCCCCCAGTGTAGACTCAGTCACTCCCTATTGGTCCAGGTGCCAAGATGGCCAAGACTGGGTTTCCACCTCAAAAATTCCCTATATCCAAAGACTATTCCCAGACAAAATCTGCCATTCCTGACAAGTCTGGCTGGCCTTGGCCCAGTGAGGCTCTCACCTGCCTTCCAAACACTGCGGCTCTGTACTTTCCTTCCAATGGAAAAAAACTGTCCTTCTCATCCAGGTGCCCATGGACACAATTGTGTTCCACCCCCAAAATTGTTTTTTGCGACAGACTGGAGGAGACTGTTGGCTCAAAACATCTCATGTGTGGGGGAGGAAGGGGCAGGTCCAGCCTTGCCCTGTCCTGGAACCCCAATCCCCCTGATAGTGGAGCCCTGGAAAAAGTTAAAGATAGAATCTAAAATGTTAGGCTTTGTGCTTTCCCAGATCAACTACACCTGCGTAAGCAATATGGTAAATTATATAATTGTTAGATGTGGTGATTGTTTAGTAATTAAATATAATTATTATATAACCATAAGAAGAATAATGAGAAGCTATGTTGGAAATTCAGAGAGGGGCTAAATTTAGGTATACAATAGAGCAATGTAAGTTTAATAATTAACATGAAAGTTATGTAACGATAGAGTATAAAACATGATCATTTCGGATGTATGGTTGGAATCATATTTGGGTCGAATATACCCCGATTCCTGGAGCTCTTTAATAAAAAGCACCACATATAATCCCCCGTGATTATGTGTTTTTGAACGCTAACACCCCCAGAGCCTCTGTCCCAGCCCAGCAGTGGCTGCCAGTCCCTGGCACAGCACAGGCAATGCTCCACAGCCCCCTCTGCAGCCCCAGCCCAGCTCCTGAGGGGCCAAATGAGCCCAAGCCCCACCTGGGGGAAGGGCCCAGGAAGACCAAATGGAACTGAGGGCTGACCACAAGGCAAGAACACATCTTGACCGTACCTCCTCTTGGAATTTCCATCTGAACAGTTCTGGAATCAACAGGAGTTGGTAGCTGTGTGTGTGCTCCTCTGTATTTTCTTTTATTTCTTTCTCCCCTTCTGTGTTTTCTTTTTCTTCTTCTAATTCCTTCTTCTTGCCAATTTTGAGTAACTTCAAATTGAACAGGCTTAGAGTTTGTGCAGGTGAAGGGGCCAAGTTAATGCTTTGAGAAGTGTTTT